GACACACAGCTGTCCTCAGAGATGTGGACATCTGATTCAGGTGCTGTCCCTCCCGTGATCCAATCCACACCACAACAGGAGGAAGGGGGTGAATCTCTCCTTGTGGAGGTGCAGGGGTTGGGACTCAGGGAAGGAGAGGGATATGCTCAGGTCACTCCTGTGCAGAGGCTGAGCTGGACCCTCCCCCTGCCCGTAGCCCTCATGAGTCACCCCAGGGCCCCGCTCTGCTCCTTGTTCCTCACCTCTGTCCTCACTCCCAGCACTCCACCAGGGCACCGCACTGTCACCAAACAGGAGTTCTTCTTTTCCTTTTCCTCTTCCGGCCTCATCTCATGAATGAGATCTCTTCCAACCCCTTATTCAAGGCTCCTCAATACCAAAAGAGGGGTCCCTGTACATCCTCCTCCTGCCCCACACTCTGCTCAGCTCTGTCCCACAGCCCACACGGCCACCACCTCCAGTCACAAAGTCCAGTTCCTGCAGACCTCAGACTCTCTCCCGATTCCTTTCCTCCTCCACCTCCTGTCTACTAACTTAATCAGGGCAGTTCCCTTCCTGCTTCCACGACCCCCATAGCTTCCTGCCAGCTTCCCCACCTCCTGTCCCTCTGCCCCATACCCAGTCCCCCAGACCACATGCCCTTCCTCACCAACACTTCTCCCCTCCCTCCCCTCCCTGGGCTCTGCCCCCAGGTCCACCCAGGGCCTCAACCTCCACTCACCTAGTGCTCCCTCTGGCCTCTGCTCTTCTGCATCCCTAGGTCTCCCTGGCCCAACCCCCTCCCCATGTCCACTCCCCCTCTTCCCATTCCCATCTGCACAACTTCCCACCAGGCTGTCCTCACTGTCCTTCTGGCTCAACTGGCCCTCTCTGGGACCTAGATCTTGGAGCCCATCGTGCAAGGAACAGGATGGGCCACAATTCCCTGTGCCTGTCTGAGCTCCCTCCAGCATCAAGGAGAAAACATTCTGAGGGCTTGGCCTCCCTCCCTGCATCTCCAAGATCCATCTCGGGCCTGACTTGGACTGGAGCAGAGCCAGGCCTCCTGTCCACCTCCTGCTACCCCCCAGCCTGAGTCAGCCTGTCCATCAAGCCCCAGCAAGGCTGAGACAGCAGGAGAGAGTTTCTCTTTCATCTTCCATCGCCCAAGGTCATGGCCAGGGCACTGTGAGCAGAAAGGAGCTGAGCTCTGAGGTTGAGCCTCTGCCTCCATGAGGACACAGGGCCGGGGATTTTTCTGGGGACAGGGAAATAAAAC